TTCGGGAAATTTTGGAAAAAGTGGCAGGAAGTTGGGTGAAAATCTGAGAATTGGTAGAAGGTCGTATTGTCTCATTGTTGGTGAGGGGGTGGGGGGGGGGGGTCTTTACTTTTCTGGACGCTTTTTAGGAGTGCTGGAGTGGTATGGTTGGACTTCTTGTGATTTTCTTTGCATGAGCACTAATAACCCCCCTATCCCCCCCCCCCCCGCGAAAAAGTAGGGAAAATTTTGGAAACAGGAAGCTTGGGGTAAATCTTGAGAAGTGGTATAATACTGTGCTATACCAATTCGCTATCTCCCCCCCCTGCTCGACGGCGGCTGGATTCGATGAGGAGAGCCAGAGGTTTCGGGGGAGGGGGGAGTCGTACCACCAAAGTAAACAAAAAAAACGTGGGGGGAATCGTATGGACTCGACTAAAATCACCAACCATGATGTGCCCTGTTCACCAAATTTTACCCATAGATGAGCACATAAGGGCGCTATTCTGCTTGGTAGGGGCATTTTGCACCTTCATTAGTTTTTCTTGTTAGTTCCTATTAATTTACAAGTTCTCTTTGTCTGAACATGTACACTCTTGGCGATGCTCCTGCTAGTACATAACTTCGCAAGAGTCTACAGATCTTCACAGGGGGCGTTGGCATCGACAGGAGTCAACGAAAAAACCGAAATGAGCCTTCACCAGCGCTTCCCCCATTTAAATTCTCACAACAGCATACCTAGATGGGTAGCAAGTTACAAACAATTGATACTTGTTTTCAACACATCTCTAGAACCCAAATGTGCTACTGGCATAAAAATCCATCCGGTTGTCGTATTTCGTTTGGATAAAATCAAGAGTTCACCCATATCATCCGAAAAAATCTACGTCCTAATTTAAGTTCTGTGGGGAGGGGGTCGACTAAAGGAACGCGATGAGACTAAGCCGCCTACAATTAGATCACCAGCGCTCACGAAGGCTGAGCTTGTTGTTGAAAGAGGACAACGACAACTATCTCGGTGAGAGAATGTAGGCAAACTGCAAGCAAAAAAAGGCTTCGCTTAACAGTGTAGCTCCCCCTCGCCCGTCAACTGTAGTGTCGTCGAGTCGTTGGTTTCGATAATAAGCGTTTTTCCACGATGTATACCCGGACTCCCCTCCTCAAACAGCACTAAAAATCCTTTTCAACGTAAACCTGAATAAGGTCTGGGGCGTTCCTTGTTCAGAACCAGTTGACTAATTTCACAATATTGTTCGCTGCAGCTGCTGGGGCAGGTCACGGAGGCTGGGCTTGGAGGGGCACTGACACGTTCTTCACCAGTTGTTGAAGCGAGAAGGCGACAAAAATTGGTGTAAAACGGGCTGGCGCCCAGCCAAACCCAGCTCTCCTGAAACGCACCACCATCCCTCACTTAACACGAGCATATAAATGGTGAGGTCCGCGCTATGGTTTGAAATCACGATATATCCCATTCTTCTCCCTAGGGATAAAATGGTGTGCAGAAAAGCAAAGGAAACATGTCCTCCAGTTCATCGATATGAACTTGAGGACCACCAAGGT